TGACCATCGTGCTGGAACGCTTCTTTTTGCATTTTTCACACAATTGCAAATCTCCTTGGCACAAATGCACTCCCCGTTTTATATTACAGTCGTCGCACTTCATTCTTTAGTGGATAATGATATAGTATAACGAATTTGAGGTAGTTTTCCCGTGAAAATCTCAAGAGCACGAAATTGGCCGTGTTCACTGTTCACAGTGAACTTCCAGTGTGGGAAATGGGGCACGCGAGAAACAATTAAAGAGTCCGATGATGCCTTTGTCTTGCAGAGGACTGGCAAGAGTTGATGATGACGATTGTGTTTGTTGGCCAACAGTTGGAAAGAACTTTTCAAGTTGAAATATTAAAGGGCGGTGGTCTTTGCGCAGCTTCCTGCTCGATATAGACTCATAGCGATGTACACATCGAGTGTAAAACACATTATTTGCTTACGTATGAAATTAGAACACTGTCGACCACCGTCCTCTAAGTAAATTCCGGGAAGTTGCATATTTGAGACAGCGGTCCTGATAAAGATAATCAGTTTCTTAATTTTAAGTTCGATTATATATTTTTTACTTTCACAATTTTCTAATTGATTAATATATATCTATTTCGTACATTGCCTAAATCATTTCGTTGTCATCCTCAAACTTTTTATTAGCCGTTCATAATGGCTAAGGCGCGAGTTCATTCAGGGTCAAATACAGGTCATACCCATCATGCTCAGAGACAATATGGCGGGTTGTTTGGTTGTGATTTTGTCTGGTTCGTAGAAAAGTCAATACAATGTCATTATCTACTCAGCAGGGTGATGAAGATGGGCAGTATGTTCTTATTGCTAAACTGGATAATGCCAGAAATATGTCGAATATTCTGAAAGCTATCCACTTCAAGGAGGTATGTATGTGTGATGGGGACCACGTCCGAGTGAAACAAACTTCAGTGGCAGCCGACGACCGAATGTAAATATCGTGACGGATTATGACATCGCCGTGGACCAAGGGCTACTTCCAATCAGGTGGCTTTTAGCCTCTATGGAAAAAAACAAACAAATGTTGATTTTTCGAACACTGGTCAACCCACCCTTTATATTAAAAATGAATGTTTTTGTTAGACTTCATTTAAATCTAAATGATTCCTGGTATTTTGTCTCCCGATCTGATGAATTCATCCGATTTGTGTTTTGCTCTCATGTGTCATTTGAAACTGAGCACTATGCATGCATGGTTCTTTCTTAAAAGAAGAACCTGTCAATCACAGGGATTTCATCACGAAGTCCTGGGACGCCATTGTTGATATTGGCTACTCTGTTAATCTGTTTTTTGTTTCCCATTGTGAAAGTAATTTGCTGTAAGCCTTAAGTGGACTTCTAAATATTGCAAATAATTATGATTTAACTTGTTTTAATGAGATACCGGTACTATGTTATAGTGAAATAATAATATACTAATTTCCATATTTTTTCCTGCCACAAGTTCAGAAGTACAATTTGAATTATAAATATCTACATGTAAGTTGCAGCCTGTGGGATAACCATGTTTATGAACCAGCATTTGCTATTCCTTGTCAGATGGCCACAGTGTTTGCCACAGCTAATGGTATCAAGGTTACTGTGGAAGACTCAAAATGTATACAGGCCAATTCTTTTCTACAAGCCGGCATATTTCAAGAATTTATTCTGCGTGAAGAATCAGCAACATTCAAGATAGACATTACTGTGTTACTTGTAAGTGATTATACATAAACCCCTTGGTGCTGCCCAGTATTGCACTTTTGCGTACAATTTAAACTTTGATCCTAATACTATGCAATGCTGGTAAACCTTTGATACATTCAGCCCAGTAGAACAAATAGTCTTCAAGTGCCAAAAAAATAGACCATTCTTCGTTCACTGCAAGATCCTGCGTCATGCGTGAAATGGAGCATTATAGTGGTGTAAAAACACCATGTGGGATTCAACAAATGCAAAACTGTCTTTTTGGGGTATTTCCATGCCTGATAATGTGCTATACACATTTGATGGTGGTCAATTTTGATGTTCAAAGGACTTGTATCTTAAAACCATATTCCCCTCTGAAAGATATGCATTTTGACATTGAACTAAAGAAAAGTAAACTTCAAATTCAAAATAAATTAAAAACAAGGTTTTTCACACATTCCACAAGATCTCGTAGTGAGCGGAAAATCACCTATTACATTTTTTTGGTTGTTATAATAAAGAAGATGATATATGTTACAGCAGGACTTGACTATTGCAGGTCTACAGTATGAAAGATCTTCTTTTAATATAAAAAAAAATCCAGTGTGTACAAAAAAATGTGTCTGATTTAATACCAAGACAAGAAAGTATGATTTCATTTCAAACATTTATTTATTATAACCTGCATTGTCCTCCTATATCTGTGTGAATACATTCAAACAACTACTCCTCCTCATTATCACAAACTTGAAGGCATATCATAGCATAGCTCATTCAGCTCATCTGAATGTCTCAACCTGCATGAACCCTCTTGAACACTATGATTCAAATCAATATTACTGTAAAATCTGTATTAGAAACCGCGGCTTCTATTAAAATGGTACAATGCAACAGAGGGGATGCGGCTTCTATTAGAGCATCTACACATATGAGAAATGATGAATTTTTGGGTTCTCAAACATTCAAAAAGAATGGGTGCGACTTCTATTAAAGATGCGGCTTCTAATACAGATTTTACGGTACTGTACTCAAAAATACACAGATCAATATAGCTTATGTGTAGCAAACTTTTGTGATTGTTCTCCAAAAATTATGGATAAACTTCATTGAAAAAATCTGAAAAAACTCATCACATAAATTATTTTTTCTTAGCATGATGTACTTTTTTTTTTACTTTGGAAAGTGCCTTTGAACAGTTTTTTTGTCTGAAATCATCTTACATTACATTTTGTGGAGTCTAGTATCATCTGGTAGCAAAATAGTTGAGGTCGTATTCAACATTTTTTAATTCCAGGAATGTTTGAATATATTTGGCAGCAGCACTTTACCTGGTGCAACAACAGCATTAAAGATGTGTTATGGTGGCTATGGATCACCTCTTATATTATGGTAAGTTAACCTGTTTACTATGCCATGTCATTGCATGTGAATTACTATGTAATGGTAAGTAAACCTGTAACCCATACTATGTAATGGTAAGTAAACCTGTAACCCATACTATGTAATGGTAAGTAAACCTGTAATGCATACTATGTAATGGTAAGTAAACCTGTAACCCATACTATGTAATGGTATTATATTCATTATATTGAATCTCTTACCCATATACCGGTAACTCCATGGATGTTCCGTGGCAGAGGCTACAATTACCTTAAATTCAATAATAAACCAATAATAAACTAAATATAGTGAATTCCACATTTTTTACTGCAGGCTTGAAGAGGGCGGTGTGCTGACTGATTGTACCATTAAAACTCTGGAACCAGATGAAGTGTTGGATTTCAACTTCTCTAGTACCAATGTCATCAATAAAATAATTATGAAGGTATGCAAGATTTACACACAAACGTAGTAGTCTTATATGTAACCAATCCCAAATCACAGCATTAATTTCATGTTTATAAATTCCTTTCTGTCTGGTATTACATGTATATCTCTTTTTCTAACAGTCAGAATGTCTTAAAGAAGCCTTTTCTGAATTAGACATGACTAGCGAAGTATTAGAGATTCTGATGTCCCCTGATAAGCCGTATTTAAGACTGTCTACATTTGGTAATGCTGGTAGTACCCATGTAAGTATACCTGTTTACATTTAAATACCTTCTCTGTTGTAGTACAAATGATTGCAAAACGTGTGTTTTTTTTTGCATGGGGGTGGGGGGTGGTTTTATATGGTCATGTGATATATCACATGTTTGGTGTTCTTTAGGGCAAGCAAGTCACCTATACAATGATGGTCTGTCATGAAATGAGTTTAAACGTTTGAAGTTTTTTGTAGTGAATGTTAACTCATTTGTTATGTTACTGTTATAGGCTGACTATCCCAAAGACTCTGATATGGTGGAATCATTCCAGTGTACTCAAACACAAACAAATAGGTAGAACAATCTACACTTATGATTTACACAAATATATTCATATTAGATTATCAAGTCTTTGGTTAATCCATGTGAAATGGAAAAATGTTGCTGAGTTTCTGATTTATCTTTTGATGCAGTTGGATATACAATTCAGTCATTGAGTTTACTGTAAAATGACTAATTTTCACTGGGGTAAAATTTCGCTGATTTACCATTTCAGGCATATTTAAATTCACGTTTTTTTCATTTAGATGATGTGTTCTATGCTAAATTTTACATTTTCACTGGGTTTAAATTTCACTGATTTGCCATTTCAGGCATATTCTTTGGGTTTTAAATTCACGGTTTTATCATTTAGATAATGTGTTCTATGCTAAATTTTACATATTCACTGGGTTTTAATTTAGCGCATTTTCCAGTCAGCGAAATAAGAAAAATTAAAACCCAGTGAATAATTAACCCCTTTACAGTATTACATATATACTGCAGATTACTCAGTCATTTCCCGTTAAAAATATTAGTATTGTCTACAACTGATATGCAAATGAGATAAAATAGTTCCTTCTGAAGTTGAGTTTACTGCAAAGATACATTTTGGCACCCCACAATTATTGTTACTTGTTATTTACGTGTAATTTGAATACTAAGATTTCCAAAATTACACTCTTGCACAAACAATAGTATCAAAAGCCATGAAATAAGAAATAAGTCACAAATCTATGTTATAATTTTCAGTATTATCACGGCAAATTCTGCCAATGAGGCACCTTCAAAGTCCAGGATTGAATATAGTCTGGTGTATCCATGCTGTTTTTTCACTCGCATGTATCAATTGGCCATGAAAATAATTTGCATACTCCACAAAAGTTAAGGCGAGGCCATGGCATTTTGTCATATTTCCCATGCAACACTTACAACAAGATATATTGAAAGTTGAAAGCATGCTTTTTGATGATTGTGTTTTTGCTGGATTTGATTTTAACCCAATCTTAGAACAAGTTTTCTTGACACGTTGTTCAAACATCATACTTTATTTTGTTAATATGCTCAGATTTTCTTTATACATAACGTATTGATTTCTTTGTGACTAGGTATAAATTAAGTCTATTGAAGCCGTCGGTGAAAGCCCTAACCCTATCAAACAAGATATCCATTCGTACAGACTGCAGAGGTTTCTTGTCATTACAGTATATGATTCGTAACGATGATGGACAAATCTGCTTTGTGGAATACTATGTAAGATTTCATAATCTATTTCATCCTTATTACAATAGTCTAACAATTTTAATTAAGTATATTCTGTCAACAGTTTTTTTCTCTGTTTGTAATTTTTTAAAAATTAACCAATTAATTCAGATTCCAATGTTATTCTAAATCAGTGATGATTTCAGACAAAACGCAAGACAAGTAAAGTAAAATAAACAGCATCCAGCAATGAGGATCACCGGTGATAAGATTCTAGAAAAAATATTTATATAACTCTTTAGCCTTTGGTATGAAATTAAAACAAACAAATTATAGAAAGATAAATGAACATTTGCATAATGTTGCGGCAAAAAAATATGACAGGAAAAATTTTGCTGTTGGAAGAGTATAAGCTATATGCAAATAGTCTCAGCAGCGCCCACCCTAGTTTGCCAAATAAAGTTCTGGCGTCAAATGTTTACATTGTGTCATAAATGTCTCATTATATATGCACAAAAATAGACAAATCACTTTGTCTAATATAGATCTAAAATAAATAGATCTAAACAAGATTAGACAAGGAATTAGATCTGATTAGATTAGATGCTCGGTAGGGGTGTCATTTTGAAACTCATGGATTCTGATTTAGGTAGAATTTTGGGTTCTACCCCGATAGCTTCTATAGTTCCTTCAGGCATATTTGCATATTGAATCACAGCTGAAGTTGATGTATGTTTTTGTCTGATTTCTGTTCACTGTGAGATCTCGCGTGATGGAAGGTGCAATTTGTCTGCCTCAAAAATCAAATGTGTATGTGCAGCACATTATAAAGCATGGAGATATCACATTTTTGAAATCCCACACAATGTTTTGACGTCCCAGTTACTTTTGTTTATCCTGTTTTTTCGTTGATCTCATTTGTAACACTGGATCTTTTCGGGAGTGGAAAATGGTCTCAAAATTTTTCATTTTCTGTTATTATTACATTTCAGTGTTCACCAGATGAGGAGTTAGATGAAAATGACGACAGATGATAAAGTATTGCGATATACATTGCCATATATGGTATCGTAAGATGATGTTCAGCAGACTCATAAGTCTCTCACCTTTGGGTTGCATAATGACAATGCCCTGAATAAATTGGATCACTATCGCCAACATCATTCTCTTCTTATACTGAGTCAATTGTATATACTGTATTATCGTTAAATTAAATGTTTTATATTGTGATTTTACATATGGTGTAATTTCATGGGTATTTTATCGTGGTTTAACATCAAACTAATTTAAATCTGCACTATTAATGAGTCGTCTGGATATGTTGCACAAGATATGGGGGCCATATTAAAAAAAATGGCACCTTTGATTGTTGTGCAGATCAATGTACAAAAAAAAAGCCACTATAATAGTTTTAGGCATTTCCAGGGATGATTGGAACATATCCCATATGCATTGGGCATGTCAAACACAATCCTTTGAGAGCAGTACATGTGTAATAAAGTGCATGGCGTCAACAACACCCCCTGGTTTAATGTTAATTAAGTTACATCTAGTAAAGATGAAAAACTCTAGGTTTTAAAATTGAAATTTAGCATTGTGTTATGATGTACAAAGATATAATTGATTAAATATGATTATAAAATAATCATGAATGAACTTGTGCCTATTTTTAATTTTTTATGTTTTTTTTATATTTTCACAAAGTTTGCTAAATAGTGTTGCATTCATGTCATGTATGTATTATGCTATATTTCATATACATGTAACTGTTATCAGTAGTATGAATCATATTTCGGGAATATGATTTTAGAGAATAATTAAAATCCATAATTTCTACAAAAGTTACTGCATTCAAGTCTACCTTTATACGTCATACTTTCCGTTTTTTATCATCAACCTACCAAATGAATCTACAAATGCAAGCTAGTTCAACAACCGTATTGCCTTTCAGCGATGTGTCTTGAATATTCATTTCTGGTAATTTTGACAAAACTACTTATTAATAGTGCTAAATGTGAATTTACATGCAAGTACATTAGTTCTTTGACTGAAGCACAGGATATGTAGTGGTTGTTGACAATCACTCTACTCATTACAAGTGTCAAGTTCTTGCATATTTTTCTAAATAGAATTTAGTACATTCCAATTTTTTCATCAGATTTTAATCTTGTTGAAAAAGACTTGCGAAGAATCAATGTAATCAACAGACCACTCATTTCACTACTGTAAAATGACTAATATTCACTGGGTTTAAATTTCACTGAAAGGCTTGTCATGGTGAATAGCATTTGAGTTTTATATTCCATTGAACCGTATTTTGTTTAGAATTCCATTTGTATGTCCAATGTCGTTTCTCGGACATTTCTGTGTGGATGTTATTTCAATTTCTATGAAGACAGGTCACAGTCACAGACAAGTCTCTTATTTAGTTTTATGCGTCATTCAAGATGGCAACCCCCATATAGTAAATATCGTATTAATTTTATTATCACGTGTGCGCCTGCTGACTGTGGTCACAGTGAAGGATGATATGCACGTCGATTTGTTTTTTTTATTCTGTTGGACTTTGACTGTTTGCCATTTTGTCTCAAAAAGACCCAACATCAACATTTGAACATGTTAAAAACTATTTCTTATTGTAATCGAAGAAACGAAACAAAACGTGATAACACACATAATGAAAATTAAACTGCAATCAGTGAAAATGAGTTTTATACGCACAATATTTACAAAATATTTGCCGAAAATAATATTTAATACGTAAATGTTTCGTTTCGCTAATTACAGTTATACAGAAGCCGTTGTATACACTACTGAAATGTGAACATACTGGTAAAGTTTCGCCCAACAGTTGAAACAGTTGTAAATACCTGTAAAATACGTGTAGGACCCTTGTTTACAGATTTCTGATTATCTGTAATTAGCGAAACGAACCTTTTTCTAATTAAAGTTCCGATATTTTCGGCAAATGTTTTATCTAGTTATATGTACGATCGTTGTAAATATTGTACGTGTAAAACCCTTTTTTCGCTGATTATAAATTTTTAATTCACATTTTCCAGTTTTAAATCGTTAAACCTTAGTTTAGGATTTTCGTTCAGTTTAGGATTTTCGCGGAATGCCGAGGGAGTAACGAAATGGTGGGAAAAAATCTCCCCCTTGCAGCAACATTTCAAAAATTTCTTTTTAGTGGGCGCATTCATGTTGAGTGTCAGTCAGTGTCACTGATAGATGGCTGACGCAAATATTCCCACAAATATTTCCTAAAATATAGTTGGGAATAATACCTAAATATAGATTCAGTTCAAAAGAAATGTTTCGGCACGCACAACAATATTAGAATGTTCCTAGAGGAAAAAAATTGCCTGGTGGCGCCCTTTAAGTTATTCATAAAAAAACAAACACAATCTTCAGGTTTTTTCGCACGTGTTTGAGATGCACTGCGATTTGATGTTTCCATATATGATAGGGCTCTGACAGTGTCACCGAATGATGATTCAATTTATTTTTTATTTTTGAAGTTTGCATAGCATACGGTGAATAGCCCCGTATGCTTTTTCAATAATTTTACCCAACACAGGCAATATTTCCGAATATATATGGGGAACCATTTTTGAAAATGGGAAAAGACGCCAGTTGTGAATGATAAATCAGATGTATGGCAAAAAGTGTTCTTTATAAACTGACGTGACTGAGTAACATCATGTTTTTACTATTCTTCTATTCAGACAGTGTTGACGACACATTCTTACAATTTTAGTTATGTC